TATTTTGCTTAGATGAGCTGGGGTGCAGGCCAGAGGTGCAGGGGGTGAGAGGACTCACCAGAGACAGAGTGGGGAGCAGAACAAGTGAATTCACTGAAATATATTGCTGAGGGGAGCAGCAGGCAAGAGAGAAGAGGTTTGCTATGTCATGTGGGTTAGTTCCCTGGCCGGATCAAACTCATGACACAGTGGCTAGTAATAGATTGATAGAGCTTTAACTCTGAACCACCAGGGAGGCCCTAATCAATATATATTTCGTAATTTAAAAAAAGTTTTATTTATGCATATAAGAACTGGGATACAGGCCAGAGATATGGGGGGTGAGAGGGTTCATCAGAGACAGAGTGGGGGGCAGAACGGGGGTGGAGTCCCTGTTATTTCAACACTTCATATTTTATTTATTTATATTTAATGATTTATTTTGCTTAGAAGAGCTGGGGTGCAGGCCAGAGGTGCAGGGGGTGAGAGGACTCACCAGAGACAGAGTGGGGAGCAGAACGGGGAGATTCACTAAAATACACTGCTGAGGGGAGCAGCGGGTGAGACAGGAGAGGTCTGCCATGCCATGTGGGTCACCTCCCTGGTGGGAATTGAACTCTTGCTGCAGTGGCTGCAGATGGCTTCACAGTGCTGCACTTTAACTCCTTGTGCCACCAGAGAAGGCCCCAATCAATATTTTAAATATTAAAATTAGATATTGCATAGTCTCTTTTTGGTCTGTCTTCATAACCTCGTGTAGTTTACTTACAAAGCAGCTCAATTTGAACTGGTCATATTTCCAGTGCTTGGTCACGGGGCTGGTGGCTCAAGGTTGGACAGAACACATGTAGGCCAACAAACTACATCCTTCCTATAGTGAGTTAAAGCCCACATGGTTTTTCAGGTCTTTGGTCTCTGAATCTGAGGACTGTGCACCATCATTTCCTGGGTTTAGGGGTTATGAGGCTAACCAGGATTCTCACTTTTCTCCACAGTATGAAAAAGCTTTCTCACCCAAGTATCTGCAGAACTGGTCTCCCGCCAAGCCAACAAAAGAGGTATTTCATATGCAGTGGACCTCTAAAGCCACGTTTTGGTCATTTCCACAATGCTGGGTAATTCTCTGGCACCTGCTTTCAGTCATCATTAAATTCCTGTCTCCTCCTCTCCTTTTACCCTTGTCAAGAACCTCAGATACGCTCTCCCTCTTCTACTGCATTTTTTTCTTTTTGCTCCTCTGCCCCAGAGAATTCCGCCCCATGAAGGCTACACTCAGATTATTGCCAATGACCGTGGTCATCTGTTACCGTCGGTGCCCCGTTCCAAGGTGAGCCACAAATCTCCACTCTGTCAAGGAAGGAAGTTTAGGTGCAGAACGGGAGCATTAGAGGGGAGATAGCAACCTCCCACTGTCACTATCTAGAAAATTAAGTTCAACCTAATTCACATTTTAACATGCATGCCCCAAATTTATACCCAGTTTGTCCAAAAGGCAGAGTTGTGTTTAGCACCAGAATTCCTTAAATCATGAATAATTTGTTCATAATGAATGCTTTCAGGTGATACTTAAGTGGGCCTCTACTAAACTTAGCCTGAGGTTGCAGATTTCAGTCTGCAGAAGTAAGATGAGGATATTAAGTGATTTCAGTAAGGGAAGGGGAAACAAAAGGGGAGCTTGGGGGCTTTGTTTGGTTTCATTACCATGCATCCCGAGCTTGGTAAATGATGAAAACTGGCAAATAGAGGTCTTGACAAACAGGTCAGATACTCTACCAAGTCCCATCTTTTTTCCTTTTAGGCAAGTCCTTGGGGTTCCTTCATGGGTACCTGGGAAATGCCTCTGAAGATACCCCCTGCTAGGGCAACCCTGACCTCCCGAACCGTTGCTGGTGCGGCCTCCCTCACCAAATGGATACAGAAAAATCCTGATTTACTCAAGGCCTCCAACGGGCTGCGTCCTGAAATTTTAGGCAAGGTAGCTATGCTTCCCACATAATCCCAAATCCTATTGTCTCCGTTTCTTTTCAATTTCAAAACTACCTGTTATAACAGCACTATGCCAGCAGGGGGAACCTCTCACCATTTCTGTCTTACCCAGTCTAGTTCTGAGCACCTCAGGCATGTGAAGACACACATCACCCACCCCCACCCCACCCCACCCCAACCCGCCAGCACAAAATTGTTCTGATTTCAAGGGGAGCTGCGGAACTGAACTTCACTTTTATCTATAACCTGACTTTTTGTCCATGGTATGGAAAGAACGAGAATTATTAACTCAGTGGATTCGGGATGACCTAAACCTGAGCAGAAACATGAATGTCTCTTCCATTCCACCCCACAGCCCCATGATCCAGTCAGTCAGAAGGAACTCAAGAAGTCTATCACAAAGACTGTACAGCAAGCACCAAGCCCAACCATCATTCCGAATTCCCCAGATGCAAACCTCAATTCCGAAGATGAACCCCATAGCTCACACCCCTCGGCTGGTCATACTCCGGGCCCCCAAACCCCAAACAACTCTCTTCTGAGCCCACCCAGTCCGTGTGTGTCAGAATATCGTGCGTGTTCTAATCTTTCTGAGCCCCAGAAACAAAACTTGGAACTCCAGAAAGAAACAGAGTAAACCTCTCTAGAGATTGAATGAAGACCCCCAACGGCACGTAGAATAGGGAAATAAAGGAGTAGGTATAAAAGATAAACTTGGAAAATAAACATCTATTGTTGACTCAATCTTTCCCTCCTGCTATGGCTTCCTCTTGTGACCCATAATGAAGATAATGAGGATTAGGGGAAACAGAGTAGAGTATAGTGGCTTGTGGTGGAAAAGGACTGAGTTAATTATATTCAGAAATGATCAGGAGTTTCTTAAAACCTCAAAGAACTGCCCCCTCATTTTTCATCCTGAGCACACTTCCAGCTACAAAGTCAAACAACATGGTAGGAAAGGACGTGTCTGTGTGTTTGCAGCAAGTGTCTGGGCAAATGGAGGTAAGAAAGTCAGGGTAGAAGACACTGTTCTTGTTTAAAACATCATGGCTTTTGTCAAAACACACAGGGACAAGTTACCAGACTCAGGCAAAAGTACTAGTCTGAAAACTGAAGCTAGAGACGTGACACAGAGGACAGAGAGGAAAAACCAAAGCAAGCAGACATTTAGGGCAGAATAACAAACACGATGCTCAATCTGCCACTCAGATCCAATCACCTCAATGAGAATCTAGCAGGAAAGTCAGAAGTCCCCTATCCAGTCCCAGCTTCCAACATGTTTATTACTGTCTCCACTCTGCAGCTTCCTGGCACTGGCTGTGAAATTTAATGCCCTTGCCAAACTTTTCCCAGTTCCAATGCCAAAGTGTTCCCTTGTGAACTTGTGCCTCTCCAAGGCCAAGTACAGAGGACATAGGGTTTCAGCTGGGGGAAGGCTACAAAGACTTCTCAAGGCCGGTATGGGAAAGAGCAAAAACAAACATTGCTTAACATTACTTAAGTTAGAGGTGACTGGGAGCTGGAATGGACTGTTGAGGTGGCAGATCCCCTCCATTTCAGCTAAAATCAAGTCTTTTGGGGTCACCTATTATTTCTTCCAATCCAAAGTTTTAACCAGTTGGCCAAACTACTCAGTGACAAAGACAGATGTTTACCCAGTTTCCAAATCTATGAAAGTAGCACTTCTGCTAAGGGAGTTTAGAACCTAAAAGCCTGACCTATATGGATTACAAAAGCAGCAAGTTTTCTCATTAAATTATAAATATCTGCCAGGCTTTCACCTCCACTGGCCCTCCATCTCCCTCAGTGAAATGTCCCATGAGGTCTACAATCACTTGTCAGTAGGATCATGGAGTCTATAACCACACAAAAGTTCTCTGCGTGTTTAACTTCCCTTCTCTTGCTCCTCCCTTCTCTAAGGTTTCTTCTGCATGGTATTACATCTCTGGCTACTTGTGCCTGATTCCCTAAAAATGTGGTCAGTTGTAGGACAAAAAGTTTCTCTCCTGAGAAAGGTCAGATTGGGGGATGTAAATGCCTGAGTCCAGGAGGGGGTGGAAATTGGCTTCTCCCCAACCGCCATTCTCTTGGTTTCACTAGAATTCAAGGAGAATCAAAGACAAAATGAGTATTTTAATTCAGTTTCAGAAAAAAGATATCACATGAATTTGGATTAGAAAACATGACATTAAGAGGTTTGTTTTTCTGGAAATGCAAAGAAAAAAAATAACCTTTAATAGATTTGATGATGATTTTCTGGGTCATCTTCTGACATCAAAAGCTATTTATCTTCTCTCCAAATCACCTGCTCCAAGAACCAACTCAGCCTTTCACTTCTCTCTCTGGAGCAGGCTATCTCCCCACCACCACCCCCACCCTCCCCTTTTAGTCACACTGTGTGGGCGCTGAAGACCCTAGGCTCTGACCACTGAACAGAACTGTCCTTTAAGCCAGCAGCCCACAGGCAGAGGCACCCAAAACCTTGCTTCCAGGCCCAGCCAGGCCACAGAGCTGGCATTGTTTCTACTGTCTCATGAAGAAAGAGCCAAAAGCTGACCCTCAGCACAAATTAAGGCTGAATATGGAGAGAGGATTAGGGTTCCTAGACCAGAGCAGGCTGAAAGCTGGGGGCAAGAAAAGGGAGCTTTTGCAGTTATTTTATCTTTGGAAACAGAAGAAATTGGACCCTTTTCTACTACTATGGTTCCAAAAGCTACTCTACAGCTACTGTGCTCTAGGGGCAGCCGCAAGCACAAAGCAATCTAAACAAATCAGGGAGCGTTGGCCCAGCTGGAGCAAGTGACCATCAGGAAGCTAGGCTGTGTCATTTATGGGGCGATGCGGCTTCAGCTCTTCACATGGCTGCCAGCCCCACGGAGGACAGCACAGTGAGCACTAGGACAGCCACTCCCGACTGGTACAGCTGGGGAATCTTCAGGCCTTTTCCCATGTCCCACATCTGTAGAAAAAAGAAAAAATATATTTTTTTCACCAATAATGGCCCTGGCAACTCTCACAGCTCCTTTCTGGTAAAGGAGTTCCACCTAATGGAAGAGGCAGCACCTCTCAGTGTGACTCGAGAAAAGCACTTCTTACCTTATGGACACTTTACTTTCCTTAACACCCACAGTCAGTCTCCACCACCCACTTATCCCAACAACAGAAAATCCTTCAGTGCCCCTACGTATTGCCATGTCACTTAAAAACAGGGACACATTCTGAGAAATGCAACCTCCTGTGAACATCAGAGAATATAATTATAGCCAGTGCGGCTTACAGCACATCTGGACTAGCTGCATATGTATGGATATTTCATGAGACATGAAACAATGAACATTTACCATTTCTATGCCTGCTATATTCTACTTCTCTATTCTATTTAAATTTATTTTTGTATGCAACTCACTAAACTTACTTTGTATCTATTGGGTCAAAACCACAATTTTTTTTAAAGCCACTGATCTAGTCTGTCTTGTGCCTAAGGGATGTTGTGATAGGACTGTTTAAACACACATCTGTCCACATTCAGAATGCAAAACTGATCAAAATCGGAGTACTTCAAAGAAAAACTAAAAGCCCAGGAAAAAAACAAGATAAGAAGATGACATCCTGCAAATAGCTTCTTCCTAGATCAGATTAGGGGTAAAGCAGATTCCACAAAAAAACTATGTATATGTGCACAATGTTTAAAAAAAAAAAGTCTGATTGTGTAGTGGTCATTGGGGGATATTCTCAAGAATGCCAGCGATCCCATCACTTTCTTTCTCCTCTCCTACATCATCCCACCGTCCACTCCCCCTTCCAGCTCTAGGCAAGACAACTATAAAGTTCTGAAGGCAAGAATAATTCACTATCATAAAAAATAGATAAAACCTTGTCCCACACTCAGAGCCAGTGCTTCTAAGAAGAAAACATGAAAGCAGATTTAAGGGCTTGCAAAAAGCCTCCAGGTTCTTCACTTCTCTCAGACAAAGAGATTATCATTATAGGAAGGAACCACAGCAGAAAAATCTTGAATGGGTTCTGAAATTTTGTAAGACTTCTCACCCTTCCTTCCTGCCATACTGAGACAAAAGCAAATATATAGCAAGTTCCTGCCTGAACCAGGATGTGAACAGAGGAAGTGGATCAGCTGATTTTCATTAGAGAGTTTTGTTCTATAGAATAATAATTCCTTAATGATAGAAAGAAATGCCCTCGAGGGGAAGTGAAGTCATTTTGAATCAAACTGAATACCACCCCAGGGGACAGTTGATAGATACACTTAATTGAATAGGTCATTTAGTCTCACTTTTCTGATTCTATTAAACTGTATATTGGACCGACTGAAATTCAGGAAGTGCTTGTCACTAGGCTCTGATGCGAAGTTATAAAAGGTCAAACTACAGCCAAAGCTTTAGACGGGTGACTCAGGTTTAGAAGTAACGGGAAATCTTAAAGAACATATTTCTGGGAAAGGAAGCCATAGTAGGGAAGGAAAGACCACAAGCTATGAAGTCTTAAAAGTCTACAGGAGGGACTGACTCTGACCTGGGGCAGGTTTAATTAAAAGCTTGATTCCTTTATATAAAGGAGATGCCAACTTTGAGCTGACCCCAAGGTCATGTAGGAAGCAATAGGGAAGTTCTCAACCATCCAAGATTCCTAAGCTCAGTATTAAAATTTGGGATTTAAGCACCTACTCTCTGTTAAAGTTGGTCCCATTTTTCCAACAGCTCAAAATAGAAACAGTTAAACAGAATCCAAGCAGCCCCCTTAGCAAAGGTCACACAACTCACTTGAGATATTTAAAGCCAGTGAATGAAGGGGACTCCTCCCAGCATCTCCATTCCCTTCAACCAGAAAATATACATGTGACAATGAACTTACCAAGTGTCGGACCCCATTCCAGGTGTGATACATGAGAGGGAAGGCAAGTGCAAACTTGGCTGTGTGGATCAGCGCTGGTCCCAGATACAGGCATTTCACAAGTTCCAAATGAGACTCAAAGTTCCCAGGGACCAACAGGGCCGACAAGCCAAAAAGAGAGACCCCTAAGGAGAAAAGCTACCCATCAGTCATAACATAAAATGGGGTTCTCTGAGAGCCCCAGAACATAATACAACTCTAAATCACTTGAAAAGGAAAGACTTTAACTAATGTTCATGTTTGTAGTGGGTAAAAGGCTTCTTGAGATCTAAGACCCTTAACTCTTAGCTCTTAGATCTCTTAAGACCCAAACTCTTAAATTTGCCATAATTTTACAATGTTATTGCTCCTTTTAGCATTCCTCACTATGAAGACTTCACCTGCTACTCCAGAAGTCACCCTCTGGCAGCATCTATGTTACTATTTCAGCAAGAAAAAGTAAAAATAATAGATTGAGGGCCTACCTGGTGGTACAAACAGCTAAATCTCAGCACTATGAAGATGTCTGCAGCCACTGCAGCACTGAGTTGGATCTCCAGCACAGATCTGATCCCCAGCCAGGGAGCTGCCTCACATGGCACAGCAGACCTCTCCTGTCTCACTCACTGTTCCCTTCAGCAATGTATTTTAGTCAATCCACCTGTTCTGCTCCCACTCTGTGTCTGGTGAATTCTCTCATGCCTACCCCCATCCCCCACCCCACACCTCTGGCCTACACCCCAGTCTTGTATGCATAAATAAAAATAAATCTTATTTTAAAAAAGCAAGCAAGATCTGAGGCACACAGCAAGGGAAAGATAGGAGAGGAATCAAAACAGGGGAGGAAGAACACAAGGGAATATGGTGATGGGTTGTAGGTGAGATGGTAGTGGAGAACAACAGGAACTGCTCCTGAGGGGAGAAGCCAACTAGTGTACAAAAATGAACAATGAAGTAAGAAAATAAAAATTAATTTTAAAAAAATGGGAGGGAAGAGCACAGGGACTGTGGTGATGGATCACTGGTGCTACAATGGTGGGAGAATGACAGGGACTATATCTGAGGGGAGAAATCAAATACTGTCCCCAAACTAACAATGATTTAAAAAAGAAAAAGGAGCCACTTGCAGTCAAGTAGAGAGGTCTAGATAAATCCACTAATAGTCCAGGAACTGACAATGCTCCAGTGCACTAGCCCCATAATAAAGGTGTGCATGTGTACCAAGGAGAATAATCAATCCATCTGGGCAGAGGGGGTGAGTGCCCTGAAAAGCCTTTTCTCAGAGGTGTACTTAAACCGAGTTTTGAGGGAAAAGATTAAGGAGCAGGAAGGTCCCATAACAAAGAACCTTAGAAAAATAAACAAATAAGAAAAGGGGGGGGGGGGTTCTTATTGCTAAACTAGCTTAAACTCCATCTGTAGGCCAAGCATAACAGATTCATCTCAGTGCCAATGAACAATGGCCGACCGGTGTTATGGTGAGGCCCAATCATACAAAGGAAAAAATGACCCATCCTGGTCTTATTAGGAGAAGGTTACTTGGGTCAAATGTTGCCATCCCTAGTAGGTGGAGAACCATTAGAGTGTTAAGCTGAAGGATGATACGGGCAGAAATGCCTTTTAAAATGAGACTTGGGCTGCAGGTAGCTTCATAGTGCTGCGCTTTAAACCCTTGTGCCACCAGGGAAGGCCCTGACCGTTTTTTTAAATAAAGGATACAGCTCTAGCAGCAGTAGGAAGGTGGACTGGATAGGAGTCAGAATGGAAGCAGACAGTGAGAATTGGAGGCTATGTTAATTCCAAGTCTCCAATCAATGAAGCAGTAATAGTTTGCCCAAGGTAGTATAAGAAGAAGAGAAAAGGGCCAACTAAAAAGAGAGAGAAGGTGGTAACATTTTGGGTTCAGGGGTAAACAAAACAAGTCAAGGGGACAATGTGCATGGGTTACGACTATGATAGTACCCTACCAAAGGGAACAAAGGAAGTAAAGGCTGTTTTAGTTTAGTTCGATATTGATTTGTTGGAGGACTGAAGTTGGTATTTTGGGAGGGGGTAAGACACGTTCAATTTAGAGTACATTTGAGTTTGAAGGCCCTAACAAACATCAAAATGAGGTTATTCAATAAATAGCAGGATAAAGGCCTAACACTAGATGAATTCCAGTTTAAAGACAAGGATCTGAAGACCAGTGAAGTTTGGAGTGTAGGTGAGGTAACTCAGGAGAACAAGAAGAGAAAAGAGAAACTGGAGAGAAATCCACTTGACTATAAAGTTCTTAGGGGCAAGGGCTGTGACTTACCTTTGCAACCACAGCACATACAAAGTGATCAGCACAAATCAGGTCCTCAGTGTTTACTGGGTCAAGAAATACAGATAACAACCTGGGACTTGTGCCTGAAGTCTGGGGCAGGCAGGTTTGTCGGAGAGACCCCTTAACCTGTGGGGTCTGCACTAACTCTGCATAGTGCAGTTTAGACTGAGTGGAATTATAGGATACCCAGATGGTGTTCAGAAATTTGAGAATTTTTTGGCAGTGGGAAAAACATGCCCTTGGTGACAGAAGTTCCATAAATAAAAACCGTTCAGAAGAGGAAAATAGAAATGTGTGGTTTAGAAAAGTTCCCTAGAATCCCACAGTCAGATAACCACTGTTTTGTGTATATATTCAGGCTTTTTATCTTTGGGCTATCTAAAATTTATTTATTTATGCACCCAAGAGCTCAGATACAGGCCAAAGGTGTGGAGGGTGAGAGGATTCCAACCAGGTGGGCTGACTGAAATACACTGCTGAGGGGAGCAGCAGGTGAGGTACGAGAGGTCTGCTGCACCACGTGGGTCACTCCCCTGGCCAAGGATCAAACTCATACTACAATGAGTTGGCTGCTGATTGTTTCATAATGCTGAGACCCAACCTCCTACACCATCAGGAGGCCCATGAACTGACTTTCTAGAAAAATCAAAGGACTTCTAGATTTATAAAGTAACTAGTGGAATGCTGAAATGGCTGTTCTTTGGTTCTGGGATTGTCATAAAATAGGACGTAAGTTATTGATGCCTTTTTTTTTTTAGTAAGTTATTGATCTTAACGCAACATAGTAACACTGGTCACAACAGACTGAGGCAGTGGAAAGAAAGTGAGAAGAGTAACACTTTGAAGTAGAGACAGATGAGAGTTTTGTTCCAACTCTGTCACTAACTAGCTACAACATTATCACTTCCTTTTGTGTTTGCAGTAGTACCTATTTAGGCTTCTGAGAATTGGATACTATCTATAAAATGCTAGTTATACACCAGGGTTCCCATGACCCCTTCCTGACAAGGCAGGAAACACTTTATTCTCATTTACTGTCTTTTTATTTTTTTTAAGATTACAAGAACTTGCCAGAGGTGTGGGGATTGGGGGTGGTGAGAGGACAGACCGTGCAAATTGGCCAAAATACACTACTGAGGGGAGCAACAGGCGAGACAGGATGGATCTGCTGTGCCATGTGTCACCTCCCTGGCTGGGGATGAGACTTGGGCTGCAGTGGCTGCAGGTAGCTTCATAGTGCTGCGCTTTAAACCCTTGTGCCACCAGGGAGGGCCCTGACTGTTTTTTTTAATAAAGGATACAACTCTAGCAGCCAGTTGGTAGAGTTACTGGTAGGTACTGGGAAGCAGAGAGGGAAATGTGCATGGGACCTCCCTGCTCTCTCTGGGCATGCCACCCTTCCAGCACACTGGTGCCAACAACAACCTGTCTCAACTCTGAATTTAGGGTTTCTTATGGAGATTTCATTACCTAGGCCATTAATAAAACCATCGACTACTGGTGGTGAATTCAATCACCAGTCCCTCATTTCTCCTCAGGCCTGTAGTGGGCAGGGCAGAGGAAGGAGTAGGGGCTACACGTTCCAGCCCTAATCATGTCGGGTCTTTCTGGAAACCAACCCCCATTTGGGGGCTCCTAGGACCAGTCATGTTATCAGAACACAAAAGGTACTCTCATTCTGTAGAGAGCCCAAAGATTGCAGGAGCTGGGTGCCAAAGAACTAGGGGGAAAGACCAAATTATGTCTTATTCTAGCACATCTTCAAACAAGGAACAGCAAATAAATTAATTCAATCTGAGCTACTTTGGCCAATGCTTTCCTCATTACAAGGGAAAAAATTTTGAGAAAAAATTAAATATGAATTTCCTAGACTCTCCCCATCTAGTGGACTGGGAGCAGAAAATAGCTTCTCCTGGAACCTGAGTGCCTATAGAGACTCCTCTAACAGCCAAACAATTTAAATTGAGAAATCAAAGCCACTGAAGCTGTCCCACCTGAACCGTAAGAAAAATTAAGTGGTTCTTTTACTTGGCTGCCCAGACCAGCTCAGCCTGCTGCACTGCAGGTCAGTGCCACACACAGAACTCTGAGGGTTGTCAGTGTCCCACTTGCACCTCCAGAAGCTGTTGTAAGCTCTCTCGGAACACTTCCCCAGGAAGAGCCTGCAGATGTCACTGTGAATGAAAATGTGACATCTGAAAGACTCACGGTGGGGCTGTCCAAGTGATGATCAAAACTCTGGCTCATAGCATCTAATTGCTCTTTTTATCTGAAGTGTTCTCACACCAATTGCGCGGGGAGGGGGTAAAAGGAGGGGCAGAACATTACCTGCAGCCTGGGTAATGGGGTGGGGGTGGGGCAAATATATTCAGGCACAGAGGAAAAAGTATTTCTGAGAAGACATTTCTATTCCTGTGACAATCCATTTTTCCAGGTTTACCCATCTTGTGAATACAAGGAACAAGAGGTAAGAGCTATGAGGAAGGAAAGACTGAGAATGGGACTGTCAGCTACAACGATCAAACATTTTCTAAGAAGTTTATAGAAATAAATATTCTGATTATTAATGTAAAGAATAATCACTGCCAGGCCTATAGCAAGAATTTTATACACTACATCTAATTTAATTTTCATAATCCGTCCTACAAACACAAAAGGAAATGATGATGATGTAGCTAGTGACAGAGTTGCAACTGAACTCTCACCTGTCTCCCCTCTTTTTCCCTTTCTCTCCACTGCCTTAGTCTGCTGTGACCAGGTTTCCTAGCTAAAATGCATCACATTTGAGAATCAAGAACTATGTCCTATCTCATTACAAGCCCAAAACAAAAGGATGGCCATTTCATACTTCTGTTAGCTACTTTTATAAATCTCTAAGTTTCTTTGGCTTTCCTAGAAAAACAGCTTACTTCATCATGAGCAGTACTGCCTGTGGGTCAGGCAACCTCTCACTGAAAATGTTTCTCCTATCTGGTCTGTTTGTAAAGACTTTCTACTCAGGACCATTTTTATGACCATTTAAGTTACTTGTACAATTCATTTATAGCTGCATTCCTCTGAAAAATCTGTTGTTTGCCACCCATGTTTTCTTTTCCTAACTTCACTCTCAATTGTTGTATGTTGCATCTTGTTGATTACCCCTTCCCACTCTCATTCATACTGCAACTTTGGCTTCCTGAAATTCTCAAAGGATTCACTTACTTTCATCTAGATTTTTGTACCATCTGCCACTTTGAAAAGTCTTTGAGTATTCCGATTCCTACAGAAACTAAGCAAAGCTACTAGTCATCACTTTCCATCTTTCAATGTACTATTTGTAAAGTTCTTTTTCAACACATTCTATTTTAAAGTCAAACTGCTATCACTATGCATTTTAATTTAACATGCCTTTTAGATTGATATACTGACCACAAAGTCTCTAGCATTTCAGTAAATATTTATAGTGAATTTGTCTGGGCCTATTAAGATTTATTAAGTAGTTTTTCCAGTTTACTGGAACAAACAAGAACATGAACCTTTCATGACTTCCATGGTTTACAGGATCACGTTCAACATAGTTATCAAAGTCCTTCATCATCTGGCACACTTCCAGCCTTACCTTTTACCATGCAACACTACTGTCAAACTATCAGACCTAGTAATCAATATCCAGTGATTGGAAGTTTTCCAATTTCTATGATTTTGCATAAGGCAGTTTCTCTACTGGAATGCCATCTTCCAATAGACTCCTCAGAAAGTCACCCTCCTTTCAAGTTTCTTAACTCCTTCAGCTTGGTTTCTCTCTTGGGATCTCACAGTGCATTATAAATATATGTCTTACCCCTTAGCCTCATCTACCTTTGAGGGTAGAACTATGCATTATCAGGACCCATCTTCTAATGTACAGTAAATTAATTCTGAAATGATCACTGTGACTTACATAGTGTGTGCTCATTTAGTAACTGAAGATTTATTAAGCACCTGAGTGCTAAAAGAGATGTACTAAGAGAGACGCAATCACCACTCTCTGCAGTTGACTAATAAGGACATAATTATAAAAATTATGTAAACAAAATAAATTATGTAATAAAAACTATAAAATAAATTATCAATGCAGTAATAATTATAAGGAATAATGCTGTAAAACAGGAAATTAAAACTAGAGATGGGAGTTACCATTTAAGATATAATGGTAAGCAAAGAAGTTTTTGAGCTGACAGTTTTGATGATATGTAAGGGATAAGAAGGAATTAGCCATGGAAATGTAGCAAGAGTAGGGTTGAACATTTCAGGCAAGTGTACAAAACACACATAGCTCTGGGGTGAGAGTTTTCCACGTTCTGAGGAATTCAAAGACCAGTGTGGCTAAAGTAGAGTAAGTCAGGGAAGGGAATGGCAGGACTGGGCAGGGCATTTTGGGTCATGGTGGAAAGCTGAACCTTCATCTAAGTGCAAAGACATTAAGATTGTTCAGTGTAACATGATTCAAATAATTTTTTAAATGTTTTCATTTTTCCTGCTATTATGTAAAAAGAATGGAGGAGGGCCACGGAATACAAAAATACAGTTGCTAGGACTGACTTCACTGCAGGCCAAGCAATCCAATTCTTGGCATATGGCCCATGATCCATCACCTTCTAAGAGACTGTTGCTATGAAAATCACCTTGTTTCTATAATTCAACATTCATAGTTTCTTGAAATCCCATCAATTCTGGAATAGGCATTATTAATATGCCTGTTTTAAGGAATAAATTGAGGTTTAAAGAGTTAACTAAGTTGCCTTAGTCACCCATCTAGCAAAAATCTTTCACTACTAGTTTTGAAGGAGGGAACTGCAGCATTTTGAGGAAAACAGATACTATATTCTATCCTGGAATGAGGGAGTTTTAGAAAAAATAGGATACATGTAATGAATACAAAGAATAAAGATAACAATTATTCAGTACAGTTTTGAAAAAATATATATTCAATTTTAGCTATATTTAGCCTTTTTTATATTGTTACAGTCTATATAAGGTTAACATCCTTTTTTTCATTTAGTGGTGATAAAGACATTTAGGTAATAAGGGAAGCTACAGCTTAATAAACAAACTACTTTTCTTCCAGTGATCAACCAAACTAAGCAGAAGGCACCAAATTAAAAATTAGAAGGTTAAAAATCAGGAAATATACAATTCCCAGGCAACACCTATCACTCTTATACCTGAATTTCATCATCCTTTACCAACTATAGGTAGGATGCACTGGATGCCTCATAGGACTTTGTGTATCCTTACTTTACAATGAGCAAAACTAATCTGATTTTGAATAGTAGAGACTAAGCTTTAAATAATTTCTGCAACTGCCTCAGCAGCAGCTCTCTAAATATAGACTCACCCTACAGCAGAGCCACCAGTCCTGCTAATGTCCACTTCGTAAAAAGTTGAGAGAAGCCAGAGAGGCCTTGAATGATATTACAAAAAACAAAAGTATATTTGTCTCCAGCTCTAGACAGAGAAAAATTTTAAATATAGCTGACCCTCTTGTAAATTACATCCCTATTGTGGAAAGAGGCATCAAATCCCAGAAACCTGACTATAATCTGTACTTCCTTCCTGTGATTAATGTACTACCTGGAAAGAATACATGAGACACACATTAACTCTGCATTTGCATTTCATTTTAGATAAATAGACACTGGTTTGTAAACCAAGATTGTGTGAGTTTAGTAAGTTAAGTCTCTTTGTCAGTTTTAGGTAACAAAGAATGGGTGCTAAAACTAAGTTTCTGGAAGAGTAAGGTTGATGTTTAATCTTGGACTGTGTTTGGTCAACAGGCAGCCATCCTGTCCATTTCTATTCTATTTCTAGTCTGCTCACTGTGATTTCAATAAATATAACACCAGGATGACATGGTCAGGAGGATTTAAAAATTGGCTAACAAAAGAACTAAGGCATAGTGAGAATTCATAATTAACTGTTAAAGGAATGAATGAACATTAAGCTTAACTGGACTGGACATTTTTTCTAAACCATGTTGCTAAATTGCAAAGGAGGCAATGAATGCCAAGAGCATAAATCTTCAAAGATGTGTGTGTGTGTGGGCGGCGGGAATGCCTATGTACATGGGTACATACACATAAAAACACACATACATACCTGCACTCAAGGCAACACCGGTACCACGATGGCAGATAGACATGGCCATAGGGAGAGACCAACTACAAGGAAACACACAAAGGCAATTAAAAAAAAGGAAAGGATGACACCATAGTACAGAGTTCACCCTGGCACAGGGAAAATACTGCTTCAGAAACAGGCATTATTTAAAAACAAAGTTCTTTCACATTCCTGTGTTTTCACTTTCTAATTGGAAGCTTTCTAGCAAGAAAGCTGACTTATTTCAGGAAAGTTCTCAACCCTTTGCCAGATTGCATGAAGGAGATACAGTTGTGAAGAATCAATTGTAACTCAAACTGCTGTTGTCACAAGAACAATATGGATAAAAATACCAATTTAAGTTATACACAGTTAGAAAATAATCACTAGAATATAACTTCCTGTGCCTCATTTCTCCAGTCGTAAGACTAAAATAGAAGAAAATCTAAGTGAATTATATCTACCCACTATTTCAGGTAATATATGGTTATTCTTAAATGCTCTTATATGCCAAAAAATATCTAACTGAGCATACCCAAGTGACCCTCTGCCAATTTTTTTTTCTAAGATTTACTTAGGCATACAAGAACTGGGGGTATAGCCAGAGGTATGGGGAGTGAGAGGATTCACCAGAGACACAGTGGGAACAGAATAGGCAGACTGACTTATACACACTCATGAGGGGAGCAGAGGGCAAAACAGGAGAGGTCTGTTGTGCCATTTGGGTCACCTCCCTGGCTGGGGATCAAACTCGTGCTGCGGTGGCTGCAGACAGCTTCATAGTGCTGTACTTTAACCTTCTGGGCCACCAGGGAGGGCCCCTGATCAAACCCTTTTTAAAGCCACAGTCTGTATTGTCAGTTTGCCAGAGAATTTCTACAGGACAACTAATATTGCTATATTCTGGAACTAGTTTTCATGATCAAGAAGGAAATGTGAAATGGAAAGAATATGAGCTAGAGAAGGTTAACCTTTGTCCTAGAAAGTCAGCTTAGGTAAGGAATGCTAAACATAGTCAGGCCACATGTTAAACATTCTAAAAGGAAGCAACAAAAGTAAGCTGTAAAGTTCTCAAAAAGAAATTCTAACTATGTAATAAAAAAATCATCAGAGTAAGAAAGGTATAATATCTAAAGAACCAAAAAGTACTGGCTAGTCACTACTAACTCAGATATAACAAAGTAAGTATAAAAAGCAGAAGAGTTGCAAAACCAAAGACAGAGAACAATAGTGTAATTTGGTTAAGAATCAAGACTAAAACCCAGAATGAGCTGAGGCTTGCAAAAATGTTAAGGACAACAAAAAGAGGCTTTTAAAATTATATGCAGGGAAAAGAAAGTTTCCTAACTGGGATGGATAATTTTATGTTAATAGATGACAGAGAGTAACACAGATTGCTCAACCATTTTGTTTGTCAAAGAGAAGATTATCAGACTGAAAAAGAACAAATATTGATTTGAGAGATCTGAAATCATAAAAAGGTGGGGAAATTGTTACGACACTGGTTAATATTCCAAATGTAGTTAGGGATCCTAATCAGATATTATTAAATCGCACAAATGAAAGAGCAAACAGATGAAATATGTATGTATAAATATTATCCTAATTTTCAGAAATGATTAAAACTATAGCTGAATCAGAGTAGTATTGGGTAGGTAAGGGAGACTTTATTTTCCAAGTAACCACAATGTTATTTCCACATGGTCTTCCAGAATCTTGTCACTTCTCATCAAGTAAGCAATTTAGTCTCTTAGGTACAGGCAGAATCTCACAACGGAAACAGAAAGCAGCAGAAGTGACTTCCAACTCACTTTTCTCCACCTTTTTCCCCTCCCCTCTGCTACTTGGAAGCTAAAGTAGCCTACGTAGACAAGTCCTGTGAAAGACCGGAGTAGAGAAGAAGGGCCCCTCCAACAGTCAGAATCAACCAAAATTGTGAGTATATGGATCTTCAGATAAATTCATCCCCAGGCTTTGTGTTTCTAGCTGAGATCCCAGATATCATGAAGCAGAGACAAGATGGACCCTGTTTGAACATCAGGTTAAGAGTTTAGTACCAAAAATCAAAGCTGTCTTCATTTACTTACTGAACAGGTGATCACCAAGAACCAGTATGATTTCCCTTGGAACATTTTTTTCAGGAAATAATGACCCTTTTTAACTTCATCCTATCTTATTTCTGTAATTTCTCCTGTTTTTCTAAAAGCATACCAAATACACTAAGCAATCAACAAATATCTTACTGATATGAACATTTTTCACTTTGTTAGAATGTTGATCAAGGAAAACCTAAAGACATAGGATATATGTTATCTGACTTTATACTATAAAACAAATTAAAACAATATGGTACTAGAATAAAAATAGACATGTGGGTCATTGGAGCAGAACTGAAAGTCCAGAAACAAATCCATGCATAGATCAAAATTTAATTAATGATAAAGGAGCCATGATCATGCAATAGGGGAAAAGTTTTTAATAAATTGTGATGGATGGCCAAATGTAAGACTAAAGTTCTCTGCCTGTACAAAAATGAATTCTAGACATAAGACCTATAACAATAAAATATATAGGAAAAATTGGTAATACATTTCATGACATCAATGATAAAGATGTTTTTGGAGATTCAAACCCCTGTAACAAGGAAATAAAAACAAAAATAAGTAATTGAGATTATCTCAGATTAAAGTTATTTACAGTAAAAGAAAAATATAAGTAGGGCTCTCCCTAGTGGCACAATGGGTTGAAGCACCGTATTATGAAGCTCTTCAAAGCCACTGCAGCATGAGTTCGATCCCCAGCCAGGGAGCTGATCCACATGGCATGGCAGACCTCTCCTAACGGGCCCGCTGCTCCCCTCAGCAGTGTATTTCAGTAGATTTGCCTGTTCTTCTCCCCACTCTATCTCTAGTTAAACTTTTCACCCAACACACCTCTGGCCTGTACCCAGTTCTGTAAGCATAAATAAATAAATCTTAAAAAAAAAAAGAAAAAGAAAAAGAAAATGTAAGTAGATTAAAAGAATTCATACTGAATGGGAAAAATATTCACATACAACTGAAAAGGGGTGGGTTAATATCCAACAATCCAACATATGTAAAAACAAAAAGAAAAACAATACCCTAACAATCCAATTAATAAATTGGCAACAGATATAAACAGACAATTCACCAAAGAAGTTATCCAGAAGACCAACAGACACATGGAAGTGTTCATTGCTTTTAATAAGGGAGATGCAGGTAAAAATCCTTTTATTTATTTATTAATTTTTAAAGGACATGTTATAAGGAAAAGGAGAAAAAAAAATATAGGCACCTGCATAGTCACAGGTAGAGCAGAGCTGCCAAAAAACAAACAAAAACACCTTTTAATAAGGAGCTATCATTGCATATCTGTGAGAATGGCACAAAGCCTCCAACTCCCAGTACGTCTGGAGAGGATATGGAGAAATAGAAATCCCATTACACTGTTGGTGAGAACATAAACCAGAATAGGCCTTTTGGAAAGTGATGTGGATTTACCTTAAAAAAAAAAACAAACAATGGAAATAACACATGACTTAGCAATGTGGGAAAAGATAGCATCTTGGGCATAACATGAAATCACCTCGAAAATTACTTACTCTACAATATTTACTGAAGCATTATTTATACTAACTAGAACATGGAAATCACCTAAGTGTACTGATAGAGAATTAGATCAAGAAGAGGTAGTATAGCCACACGATGGAACACTATTCAGCCATAAGGAAAGGTAAAATGTTGCCATTTATGGTAAAATGAAAGGAACTAGAGGGGAATTATGTATAGTAAAGCAAATCAGAACTACAAAGACAAATATAGGACATTAATACAGCAGATGATTTGACAAAGTAAAATACTTACAAAAATCAGTGGACAGGAATAAAGGAAGTGAGACTTCAGTGGTTAAGAGCGAGGGGGAGCTTTTGCACCACTGTTTTTAAGAAAACAAGAAGGGTGACCAGCAATTTTACTAGAGCCTTCAGACAAAATCTGGCTAGGATTTTCACTCTTGCCATACCTGCTCAAACTAGCATGGTATGATCTGGAAATAAGGCTTTAATATGTACTGCCAGTGTTTGTATCAGTTTGAGAAGGATATAGGTTTCATTAAACTAGGCTAAGTGAACTTCCTTGAATTGGTCAGCCAAGACATTGACACCTTGTTTACAGCAGGAACAAAGTTAACTCTCTATATGGAAAACTAAAACTTATCAAAAAGGGTGTGGGAGGGAGTCAAAGGATATGTATAAGGAATGATATTAAGGAATAAACTAATTTTTTAAAAGGAAGAACATGGCATGGTTCCACTTTATAAGGTACCTAGAATAATCAATTTATAGAGCCTGAAAGTTGCTAACAATGTAATATAAGTGAAAAGTTGCTGGAAGGGCAGAGCAGGGGATCAGAACAAAAAGAAGTAAGATTTATTGTTTAATGAATACAGAGTTTTCGTTTGAGAAAATGAAAGGATTCTGGAGATAATAGTTACATAACAATGTGAATATATTTAATGCTATTGTACTGGACACTTAAAACTGGTTAAAATTCTGGTGGAAAATATAAGGTACTTATACAGATGTTGATTTAAAAGGCTATATACCTGAAACCTATGTAATTCTATAAACCAGTGTTACTTCAAAAATTTTTAAAAAGGTTAAAATAGGTAAATTTTGTTACATATATTTTATTAACACAATTAAAAAACTTAAAAGAGAATGCAATTAAAAATGAGCAGAAGTCTAAATAAGATATACAAATGGCTAATAATCACATAAAAACATATATAAAATCAATGAAAGGTTGTCAAAAGAGTGGTCTTAGATCTACTTAAAATGGTTCAAGGTAGAACTAGAGCAAGTAAGTAGATGGAAGATATAAGCTCCTTGGGAACAGTTCCACAGTCCCTGGTGTTTCTTGTCTTCCCACAATTTTGTCTAGAGTTTCATAAACTGAGAGAGAGAACAGGGTGTGAAAGACTCACCTCACCAGCTTACTACCATTCATTATATGACCATTGGAAAAAAGGTTAAGGTTTTTATATAGATTCAGAATAATTTCAGAAGTTCATCATTTATAACCCTCCCCCAAGTTCTCTATCTTTAAATTAAAAAAAAAAAAAATTTTTTTTTGCCCTAAAGTAGCAAGGATTAAGATCTTACTAGTCTCCTTCTGTTTTAGCAGAATGTCCAATTTCTAGAATTATTTCTGGAATCTGGCTTAGAAAAAATCTGAAGGGTTCTGGTATTTGTGGAGGTGGTTAAAAAATGGCCAGCCTCCCTGGCAGGAAACCAACTGAAGAGGGGAGCAGAACTCAAGATGCTTTGCTGGGTTAGCTAGAAAGCAGATTTGCAGAGGTTTTCTTAGAAGAAATCAACATAACGTTAAGTCATCAGTGCTACTTCTGAGGACAGGAGATACAGATCTATGTATATGATATATATAGTCATATACATAAATGTGTACATGTGTTAAGTGTGCATGCATACATATAAATCTTAGCTTTATCTATTCAAAGGTCCTAGAAGCAATGAGAACGTGACATCCTGGTAGCAATGAGCACATCTAACACAGGATCTTGATTTCCCAGGAACCATCTTGAAGAATTCTTACTGGCCACATCTTGAGACAATTTGGACACCAAAATCAATGAGTAACAAAGTGTAAACTTTAGGTAAAACAGGAACATATATATTGGCCTTTGTTCCCAGTTCCTGACACAGAGCTTCTAAAATCCTTATTATCTCTTGAGTGATGGGAGTGCTAGGAGAATTCTTTGTTCTGGAATTTGATCTTTGACCTAGGTTCCTGATACAGAACTCCTAAAGATAATAGGAATTTCCTGGGTGGTTAAGTGTGCTTCTTTCTTTCTTTCTTTCTTTTAAAGATTAATTTATTTGTGCATACAGAACTGAGGTACAGGCCAGAGGCGCAGGGCTGGTGAGAGGATTCACCAGAGACAGAGTGGGGAGCAGGACAGGCAGACTAAGGAAGTACACTGCTGAGGGGAGCAGTGGGCTAAGCAGGAGAGGTCTGCCACGCCATGTGGGTCACCTCCAGGGCTGGGGATCAAACTCATGCTGAAGCAACTGTGGCTCCACTGCAGTGCTGAGCTTTACCCCACTGAGCCACCAGGGAGGGCCAAGTGTCCTTCTTTCTAATGAGATAGCTTGTAACAGGTTGCTGGATGGAAGCAGGTCCAAGCCATGATTAGAAATTTAGAACTTTTAGCCTCATCCCTTAAAGATTAAGTTGATAACTGATCATACCTACTTGAAGAAACTTTCAAAAAAATCCCAAAGTATGGGGTTTAGAGAGCCCCCAGGTTGATGACTACATCCACATGTCAGGATGATGGCACATCCCAACTTCACAGGGACAGAGGCTCCTGTGCCAGAACCCTTCCAGATACAGAGGTACTCTTTTTTTTTAGGTATCTTTTTCATCTGTACATTTGTAACATTCTTTATAACAAACTAATAAATATAAGTAAATGCTTCCAAGTTCTAGCAAATATCCAAAGTTAAGGAAGGGGTCTTGGAAACCTGATTTATACCTAGTCAGTCAGAGTACAGGTCGCAACCTGGGGCTTGCAATTGGCATCTGAAGTGGGGGGCAGTCTGGGACTAATTGACTAATTAACATTTAGGGACTAAACATCTTACCTGTGGGTGTATGCTAACTTCAGGTAGCTGGTATAAGAATTGAATTGTAGAACACCCAGATGGTGTCCAGAAGATGGAAAATATTTGTATGGGGAAAACACCTATAGGTCTCGTATATTGAAATAGAAATATTGAGAATAGAGAGAAAAAGATAGTGGTTTTCCTTTAGTTGATATCATAGAGTAAAGGGAAATAAGTTATTTTTAGGAGTCCTTTATCACTTTAAACTGATAAGGGAAGCAAGCTTTATTCACTAGTAACATACAAGTCTAGAAGGTATGGTACAATTAGAAAAACCATGACATGGAAATCATCATAGTAATAACTGATAGAGATAAGTACCATCAATAAATATTGGTAGCTAACTTTAATAAGAGAATATTTAGAGTTTCAAAGTGTGTTTCCCCACAAAATACACATTAATTAGCACATCTTTATTCATAAACTCTATAGTGCAGAAACCGAGCAAACATACCTTAACCAGTGATTCAAATTTGACATCATCAATAATGGGATAAATGACCATCATGTGCCTGCCCCCGAGAGGATGCTCTGAGAAGGCATCACCTCCAGGGTATTTCTGACAGAAATGCATAAACCATAGGGAATTATCAGACAAACCCAAACTGAGGAGCAGGCTAAAAAGGTCAAAGTATAAATAAGGAAAGGCTAAAAAAAACTGTCCCATACTGAAAGAAGAGATGAAAGAAATAACCACCAAATGTCATATATGATCCTGAGCAGGATCTTGGACCTGTAATAGACATTAATAAGGCAAATGGCAAAATTGTAATAGTATCTGAAGATCTAAATAGTGGATGAAATGTTAATTTTCTCATTATGATGACTGTATCATGGAAAGGGTACAGTTGCCCAGTTGAAGTTAAGAAACACACAAATTCAAGTATGAAGGAACGATAAGCAGAATAATGACCTCCCCTGAAAATGTTCAGATTCTAGTCCCCTAAATCTGTATTTTACCTTCTATGGGAAAGGAGGCTACATAAGTGACCTCACAATATGGAGATTATCCTGTATTATACCAGTGTGCTAATGTAATCACAAGGTTACTTAAAAGCAGAAAAGGCAGGCAGAAGGAGCAAGAAATGTGACGATGTAGATATAGGTATGGTCAAAATGATGGGACAACTTTGACCCATCATTGCTGGTTATGGATGGAGCAAAATGAGGCTACAAACCAAAGAATATAGAACAGTTTCTAGAAGCTGGCAAAGGCAAGAAAATAGATTCCCCCCCTAGAGCTTGCAGAAGGAAAGGCAGATCTTCCAACAACTTAACACCTAATATCTGTAGGATAATAAACATGTTGTTTTAAGTCACAAAGTTTGTTGTAATTTGTTACAACAGTAACAGAAAAACTCACTCAGGAATAATGGAGCATTATTATTTCTGCAACCGGTTCTTAAACCATTATTAAGTTTGGAATCTGCATAAAAAGCAGATAGAACACTATATCTGCAATTTTTATGTAAATGGGAACTGCCACAAAAGTTTTTTTTTAATTAGTAAGAAATACATTTCAATTTACCAGAATTTCCTAGTTGGTAGTCTTATAAGAGAGACTACCCTTCTACATTCAGAAGAGATTTTTATCATGTTCTTATTAACCAAAAAAAAAAAAACACCCTGAGGGAATTCTCAGGTAGGGTATATGCCCATCCCCAGAACTTTCACTCATTACTTCTAGATGTCCTGTCTTGAGAGCTCTTACCTGTAGATAGTGATGTGGGGAGATAAAGGACGGTTTGAACTAGTGTTCTTATTCCAGAACCTCTCCATCTCTTCTTTGGCTGATGTTCCCAAAGGAACAGTACTAAAAAAAAATCAGAAGGTTTAAAGTTTTTTGAGTAAACTTGGTTTAAAATTTTAATATAACAAAATGTCTTTTTAAAAAGGCAAACTAGGCTGGATGAACTCACTGTAAGAAGAAATACATTAACTTTATCTTTACATCAGTGTGACTCAGTATTAATAACCCCAACTTCCTAATGTGGTCCTATCAGAAAAAAACTCTTCTTTCTAATCCCCTGAACACACACCAGCAGCAGAAGCTCAATTTCTTTTTTGTTGGACAACAGGGAAAGTGCACTATTTCAAACCATCCATATAAGTGGCCTGCCCTCTTCCCAGGCCACAGTGCTACTGCATGTATTACCACCTGCTCTTCAAGACTCCTCTCAGGTTCTCAAATATCAAGAACTATTCAACTCCTCTCAATAGCTTCTCAGTATCCTTTGCCACTGGGCTAGTTTGAAACTAGTTGTTAAACAGCTACATTCAACATGTTATCTAGTTTGAATCACTATTAACAAGACTGCATTTCTCTTCAGAAAATATCTCCCCATCACTTACTTTTAATTATAAAAGGAAAAAACAGTATGAGAAAAACTAGCATAATACATTTCCTTTTTCTAATGATCAACATGAAAATCACTGATAATAAAACACTTGGCATCCTATGCTCCCTGATAACATGTAGCAGTATTTAATATTACTTATGTATTACTAGTGCAAAAAATGCAAAACCTGAATTTAATCATTAAGAAGTAAACAAACCCAACTTGAGATACATTCTACTAAGACATAACAGAACATAGTTTTAAATTTCCTGAGTTTGATAACTGTGTTCGCATAGTCATGAAGTATTATATAAGATAATGTTCTTGTTTTATAAGTATTTAGAAGTATGCTATTTGAAACTTAATCTGGAAGAATTCAGAAAAAACAGTAACAATAAATATTAGCATAAAACACACTAAATAGTCAATTTTGGACCAAGTTTGACCTACAAAAACAACTTCACATGGCACAACCTAAATACAGAGTGATAGTAACATATCAAAATGTTACAACTAATGAATCTAGGTGAAAAGTATACAGAACTTCATGGCAGTATTCCTCCAACTTTTCTGAAAGCATAAAATGTTTCCAAAACTAAAGTTAGAGAGGTAAGGTTGGGGGGTGGAATTGTTGAAATCAACAGAGTAGTAATGAATATAGCAAGAAGAAATATTTTTAAAGACTAAGTCCTGGGAGCTACCCCAAATTAAGGGTTAAAGAAACAAAATTAAAAGGAGAAAGACTAAACAGAAAGAAGAGAATCAGAAATTAGCTATCAAGGAAGGAATCCAGAAATGGAACAAATCAATGAAATTAAAGCTAAAGAAATATCTTTCTACTGCAAGAAAAGAAAAATAATGACCACAATCACTAAATTTTCAGTGACATGTCTACAACTGCCTTTTATCCATACCCCCAAAATTGAAGTCAACCACCTACTGCTTTTCCCTGAGGGGGAAAAAAGCTAATAATCTTTGCAAACTTTCAAACTTACTTTCTGATGCAGAGCTGAGGACCAAGATGGGCATGGAGGCAACGACGGCCAACATGTCTGCAAGGTAGGAGAATCAAGAGTCAATACATGCTTAGAGGTCAATTTCAGTATGTAAATTTCTCTACTTTTGTGCTGCTTTAAACAATGACAGTGTCAGTATCCCTGAGATTACTTAAATAGCTTGAGAATATCAGAAATATTCCCTAAAAATGCAAGGTATTTTTTTAAAGATTTATTTATTCGTGCATACAGAACTGGGGTACAGGCCAGAGGCTCAGGGGCGGAGAGAGGCTTCACCAGAGACAGAGTGGGGAACAGAACAGGCAGATCGACGAAGTACACTGCTGAGGGGAGCAGTGGGCGGGTCAGGAGAGGTCTGCCACGCCATGTGGTCACCTCCTGGGCAGGCGGGAATCGAACTCATGGGGAAGCGGCTTTAGATTCTCAGTGCTGTGCTTTAACCCGCTGCGCCACCAGGGAGGGCCAATGCAAGATATTTTTAACTGAACACAAATAATACAAGGTCATTATTAATGTTCAGCAGGGATATATAGAGTGTTTTTAATGCTAGACCTTAAAAATGATGGTTAAGGCCCTCCCTGGTGGTCCAGCAGGTTGGATAGCTGCACTTCGAAGCTAAGCCAAGCAGTGGCTGCTTCAGTGTGAGTTTAACCCCTGCCTCAGAGGTGACCCATATGGCACAGCAGACCTCTCCCATCTGGCCCACTGCTCCCCTCAGCAAAGTACTTTATTGATCTGCCTGTTCTGCTCCCTACTCTGTTTCTGATGTATCTTCTCGCCACCCTTCCACCCCATTTCTGTATGCATAAATAAATAAAATCTTAAAAAAAGATGATTAAGACAGAGGTAAACCAAAAACTAGAATATACTATAGGTAACATCAAATAGGTAGTTGAACTACATATAGCTCATGTTAAATAAAAAAGGCTGAAGAACAAGGGTTTGTGGTGGTAGGGTCTCAAGTATTAACTTGAGCTATTATTTTGGGAACTACCAGTGAGGTCCAGACAACCCAGATAAACATCAAGTCAAAGTCTTAGGACTTTGTGTAACAACACAAAAACTCAGGACTCTGTGAAGATTTCTTCACCACCCACATGAAAAGGTACTTGAAGAGGATACAGAAGTTCCCTATTAATGTATACATCAGTACCTGAATTGCTTTTCAAGTCTCAAACTAAGATGTTCCCAAACATTCTACCTAAAGAGATTTAACTTACCCAGAATTTACACCATATTATGAAAAACGCAAGGCCACTTTATAACCCTTTACTCTCTATATAGTCAATATATCAAATCTTGCCAAAAGTACATAAGAAATCTTGCGGACTAAAAACTGAAAACATTGATTCCACAGAAGTTTACTGAGTATTCACTGTGTACAAGACACTACAGGATCTAAGATGTCAACTCGTGATGTCTCTTCTTCACTGATGAGACACACAACCACATCAAGAACCATATGCTTTACACCAGAGTATGCTAGAAGGGCCCACTATTTGAAGAAAAATAGTCAGGTCGATACTTCCTTCAGCTCTTCTCTTTGCAGCTTTGGGAGCAAGAGGTGAATACAGACATTGTGTATCCAAGGCTCCCAGAAAGAAGTGGGAACAAATCTTTTTAAATCAATTGAAATAATTGTGACTCTGAAGTTGCAGGGCACACATTCCTCACACGAGGCTGGTCCAGTCACTCAGCTACCCAGCAAGAGTTTGCAGATGTGGGCTGGAATCTAAGGCGCTCTGTCTTGTGCTATTGTTTCCCAGACAAATACCAATGTAAACTTTCTACAAGGCCCTAATAGAAACTAGTTGCACAAATTCCATAACCTTATTTGAAATATGACAAAAGTAGACATCTATACTGGCCTTTCATGTGAAACCATGAACTCTGCAAGGTATTTCTTTTCTCACCCAAGAATAGCGCTTCACATGTATAGCTAGAGTAATATTAATTACTCTGCCTTTCTTTTAATAAGCCAGAACTTTTCATTTCTAGTAAGTGCTGTCCCCTTGCAAAAACACTAAGTGAAATATGTCTTCCCCAAAAAATGTAATCATTACCCAAATCGTTTTTGAAACATGCCTATTGATTGGGGCAGCAACAGTAATGTAGAAAGCAAATTGGACAAAACAAATAATCAGAACAGAGTTCTACATCTGTGTGTACCTTGTATAACTTTATTGAGTCACACTGAGTTTCACTTTTTTCATTTATAAATGGGATTGATAATTCCCACCTTACTGATTGTTGGGAGGATTACATGATATGATGTATAAGAAAGCATTCTCTTAACTGCAATATTCCATATATTTCATTGCTCTCTCCAAGGTCTTTAGAATTTCATCATTCTTTTTAATACCCTCAAATGGTGACAAAAAAATACTGACCTGAAAACAGATTTGACTTTTGGGGAAAACTCACTCTTCGGGCCTCCCTGGTGGCCTACCTAGGGTTAGGTCTCAGTGCTATTACCGCTATAGCCAGAGTTCGATCTCTGGCCAAGGAGCGTTAACACACACATGGTGCAGCTTAGTACTACTAAGCACATAAGGCATTACCCACACCTGTCTTACCCACTGTTTGCTTATTAGTGTCATTTCAGTAAACCTACCTGTTCTGTACTCTACTCTCTGGTGAATGCTCGCCCATCCCCTTTTATCCCCCCTCCCACTTCCACACCTCTGGCCTACACTCATTCTTTTATGCAAAATAAAATAACCACTCTTCAAAACCCAACAATTCTTAGATAGCAACTTCTTTATTTCTTTACCCTTACTTGCTACACCTGTCATGCTCCCATACCACTTGTTCATATCTCCACATCAACATTATGTTGCTTAATAATTTATTTACTTATCTCCCCTACCAGACTTTGAACTCAAGGGTAGGACCAGAATACTTGGCATCTATAGCACCTGTAATAATGTCTGATATATAGAAGATGCTCCAAAAAACAATTTGTGAGTGAATAGGCTTATTTTAAAAAGCAGTGTTATGAATTAACAGTTAAACCTTAATTTTAGAGGTGTCCAGATTACTGACTCTTGATGCCTTTGTGCTTCAGAGGCATGAACATTAATCGAGAAAGAAGTCCAGTTGCACTTAAGAGTTCTCCATCTTGTTTTGACTATTATTCTTTCACTGAATGCCAGTGGAGTTTGTGTTACTCAGCTGGCTAGTCATTCCTGGGTAGTCCATAAACTGTTTGGGAAGTAAACAAAATAAAGAGCACTATTCGAAAGCCATGACAAGTACAGTTCTAGTAACTGATAACTTTGATAGCCAAGAATTAAAAATGTCTAACCAACCCTCTTTTTAAGTGGCCCAAGTTATTACTAAGTACTTCCATTCACAAATGAAGAAACCACAATCATGAAATCAATGACCTTGATTTGTTCAAAATAAATGAATTAGTAACACTACTAGTACTAGAAACTAACCCCTAGAGTTTCTTAGAAGGTATTTTCCTTTGAGATTAAATCAACACATTATAAATCACTCTAAGTCCCTCTAGTGAGATGAATTTAGACCTAGAACTTAAATCACAGGGAAGTTTTTATTTCTTGTTTCTCCTTCTAAAAAAAAATTTTTGTGAGAAATGAAAACACAGGTGACTTTTCCATGAGATCTTTGGATTATCGTTAATGAAAAAGAAGTCTATTTTCTTGGCATTGAGTCCTAGTGGAGACTGTCTTACAGAACTCAAATACTATCTGGACACACTTAATAATGATCCTCAGGTTCCAAACACTTGTCCTCAAACTCCTAGAGTTAACTGTTTAGAACCAATATGATCATTTCAAGCTAAATGTTAATCCCACCAAAAGCCCCTGACATCTACTAAACTAAAGTAGATTCAAGAATTCAAAAGCATCCAATTATGACTGGATCCAGCATTCAATTAGGAGTAAACCAGGCAAGCTTGCACCCGTAAACCTTAGGGGTGCAACTGGAAATGAAAGGCAGGGAGAAACATGAAGGATTAAGATAACACATCCCTGATCTCAATTCCAAGAGGAATTTTGTCACAGAGAATAACTAAATAAAGTCTCTCTATTTTTATACTAAGCGAGTGAAGTGGAAAGAAAAATGAGAAGACATTTGGAGAAATCAGGGACAGAAATCTTAACAGTATTAAAGCTAACTTTCCATAACAAATAGTTTCCAAAAATAGGGCTGGCAGGAAACTATGTTGGGATCTGTACCAGGACTATCAAAGTCACTCCAGTTAGAATGGCTCTGAGTACAGATCAAGGCCTAGTTAGTTAGTGGTCAGTCCAGAATGGAAGAAAATCTAGGATATTCTCTGGATAGTGACTGTAGAGAAAAAAATGGGTCACCACGCCACATAAATAAAAAAGATAAACCCAAACTGAATTCCCAGGGCTGGGCCAGCAGAGCGACACCTATGGCGCTACAGATAATCGCCAATCGGGAAGGGGTCAGGGTATCCCGCAGCCTGCCTGTATGCCGTTAGGAACCTGGCAATGCCAGCAGCTGGTGTTTGCAGGAGTTAGAAGCAATGGCCAAGTAGAGCAGGCTCTCTCTCCCAAGACCCAACCCCTAAAAAAAAAAATGGAATTGTACGCTGATCTCGAAGAGAGAGATATTTAATTTTCTAGAAGCCTGGCTCGAGAGCAGGCTGGGAAGGACTTACAGAGGTGAGAAAAGTAAAAGGGACGGACGGAGGCCGCGCGACCCTGGCGAAGGGAGTGAAAATGTGATAAGGGGATAGTGACCCCGAAGCGACCCCTGAGGCAGCCCGGGGCGGCTGGGGAGGGGTCGCTAGGAATCCGAGGCTTGCGGCCCCCGTACCCACGGGATCTCCCCCTGCCCGGGCACGGGAGAAACGCCATCAGCGGGACATCAAAGGCAAATTCAAGCCTTCCAAGGGCCGCGAGTACCGACTCCCTGCCCCAGGCTAAAGTCACCTCAACAAGAGCGCAGCCATCTTGGGTTCCGGCCTGGACGGAAGTGATACAGACGCCCCGCCCTCGGTGCGCGGGGAGGCGGGGCGAATCCTGTCACGTGATGCGGCGGGGCCCTTTAAAAGGCTCCCGCCGCTTCGCTGTTACTGTTCAGCTCAAAAACTGGAACCTTGTCCCTCGTGCACACTCCGTCCCCAACCCCCTCGACGCTCTTCCAGCTGAGGTTGCTAAGGATTTGGCAGAGATGAGGCAGGCTCAGACTCTGCGCCCAGTTTTCTTTACCATGTCATTTTACTGGCCAGTGAAACACCCTGGATTTTCTCCCGTCCTGAACTGTTCAACCTGTCCACTTGATTTGTTTCACACCCAACAGCTGACTAGCAAATTCTTCCCCAAGGATTTCTCGGTTCAGTTTCATTCCTCCTGACAGACTAAACACTTCTTGGTGGGTCAGTCAAAACTCCCACAGAAAGGGTTCTTTGGTTTCCCTCAGGCTCCCAATAGTGAGATACACAATTTGAGCTCCAAGTGGGGGAGTGTGAGAGTGGGCTAGGTAGGGGTAAGGGGCGCTTCACCAGTCCCAAGACCAGGCCTCCTCTGGCATCTTCACTTTTTGCCCCCCATTCTTGCTTAAGTTACCACATGAGCTAGTCGCCCACCAGCCATAGACAAGGCTCTCTTTGTTTTTTTCTTTCAGGACTGCGTGGGTGTCACCCACAGAAAAACCTGGGCTGGGAGTGGGGAGATCTCACTTTGATCCATATGTGTATGTCTTAGGAACCCAAGCACAGTGATCAATTACAGAGCATGTATGGCTTAAAAGAGTAAAAAAGAGCAAGTAAGAAAGAAATGGAAGAATGTTGCAAATTTTTTGAGTCTTTGAGAAGGGTGAAGGAGGCAGCCCACGGTAACTCCCATTCTGCAAGCGAATGTATTCAGTTACATTAATATTCAGATCTTATTTATATTTAGCACTTCTGCACTTTTCCTTTCAGGATTTAAATAGCATGAATTCGCTTATTTATGCATCAAATGAAAATACTATTTTGCATTTCTATAATGTTTGACAAAGAAAATACTTTCACAGATTTGTATTGGGAGAATAATAGAGGCTCTCCAACCCCATGATCTGTCCAGTGCAGAAATCTGCAACATTGTGGACCCTGATTTTCAAGACCAGGCTCTAACACTAGTTCAAACTCAAAAAAGCAAGTTTCCTTTAGTGAATAACGAATAATTAGAAGGCTGTTATATTAAAATGCACTTCTCTACTGTTGAGCTTTTAGTCATTGATCCTACTTTAGCTATCTAGAACTTCACATTAGCAAATCAATGAATGCTTCTTTCACTAACTCTAAATAATTTCATTCCACATATGTGTCAACTTTTTGTCAGTCAGTGAGAGTATTTTAGAGGACTTGAAGATACTGATTGGTAAGTTTAAAGCCTTAGGATCACTAAGTAAGTAAATACAAGAAAGCAGCTACCCCTTGAAAGAAGTATAGGGAAAAGGAATGGGGAGATAAAAGCTGAGGAGGTGGGGATTAGGGATAAATGTTAACTACGAAATCCTGTTGACATTTCTTGATGATTTGACTTATGGAGTTTTGATAAAGTCCCATATTTAAACCCCCACCTTTGTCTCCCCAAACCAGATTCTGAACTCCTTGAAGGAAGGACTTAATTTTTATTCCTCTTCTATTATCCACATACCCATACATTACATGTAGCTGGCACACAATACAATTTTGTTAGATTGTTCTAAATCGAAATGGCTTAAACTGCAGCATGAGGCAGGCATTGAGGAGCTTCTGACAATGAGGGAAAGGTAGGGGGATTCTTACTTGGGTATTTTCATGTGGAGAAGACCTATCTGGAAAGACTCACCAGGATGCAGGAAGAGGTGAAGAATTTTTTTTGAAAAGACCCCAAAGGACCTTGTCTTCTCAAGAGGCCTGGAATGCAGCCCATGGTAGTCAAAATATCAAGGGATATCCAAGTTCCCTGGGGGAGACCTGTCTCTAGCTCCTAGGGCTTTGGGGAAGCCCCACTCTGGCAGGGAGGCTAGGGAGGAATCCCTTGGTCTTAGGATTCAGGTCTTAGGATTCACACTCAGAGAAGTGTATTGGTGTCCCTTTTTCTGTCCCTCTCTCTCACCACCCCCACCCCCCCAACATTCCAGCCTAGGGAAGGGGGAGGCTAGCAGACACAAAGTCCTCTATGTCCGGGGTGGTATGTGTCCCCCCCACCCCCCCCACCCAGAGAACACAATGCCCCTTCTGCTTCCTGCACTCTGCCCCACTCCCCACCACCTCTCAACTGCACATGCCAAGCGGTAATTGGTTACTAGCTCAGGACAGCCCCCTCAGACTGGGACCCTGGGGGATTTTAAGCGGGTTCCAGGAACCCCCGCTCAGTTCCTGGTCCCCCACTCTCCCAGTCCTACAGCTGCTTTGGGTCCTGGCCCCTGCCCCAGCTATGGCTCCTGGGGCGCCTTCATCCAGCCTCAGCCCCATCCTGGCTGTGCTGCTCTTCTCTTTGGGTAAGTCTGGGAGACTGGGGCTCAGGCTATTTCTCAGTAACCTCCCCACTGCCTTTGCTTGTATTTCTCACTGCAATCAAAGCAAAAGATAAGATTATATTTAGAGAAAAAAAATAGTTTGGAGGGAGACAATAAAGGTGTTTTGTGAAAGGAGAGCTCGGCAAAAGAGAGTATACACAGTTTCCTTGAGTAGACTAGACCCCAGTTGAAACCAGTAAGATACCCCCGGGGACCATGCTGAGGGCCTGGTAGGAATCAAGTCAGATCAAGGTCCCCATTCATCCTCTAGACCTTAGATTCCCCAAAGAGAAAAGCCACGTAATGTGATCTAAGGAAGGAATCCAATGCTTATGGTCCCAGCTCTTCACATCCTTTGTCTCTTGGTGACTCTTGGTGGCACCAATATCTGTTTAAGTGGGCAAATGGAGTCTAGAGGAGATTCTACAAAATTCTAGGAACTTGTCTATGGAAAAGCTCTCTCATCATAAGCTGACCAGATCCGGTTTACCCCATGGGAGATATTAAAGTGAACAAGAGAATGTCAAAGCAAGGTTATTTGTGTGGATACTTCTTGTCTCTGAACTTCCCCGAAGACTCCTGCAATGGGTGAGCAGTAGGCAAGTGACGGTGGGGATCAGTCAAAATGTTCAGATTTCTCTGTATCAGCTCCTTAAGTCCTGAGCCTAAAAGGTAGATTCTCTGAGCAATAGTGGACTATTCTAGGAAAAGATTAAGACTAGGGAGTTGGAGAATGGTAAGGCAAGGGAAATGGTAAGTCTTGGAATATAATAGGGAGAGAGAGTTCTGTGTTGGCACTCAAGGAACCACTGAGGAGAGCTACAGGGCAGTGGTGGAGAGCAGGATAGGCGGGATAGAAGTTAAGTCCATGAATCACCTTCCTGATTACATTTGGGATTCCCAAGAAGACTTTAAGGCTGAGGTGCCAGGAGCTGAGGCAATGATCTTGCACTGAGGTAAGAGATCCCTACTCCACTATGGAGTCAGGAAGGGTGTGTTTCATGAGTGCCAAGGTTGGTCAGACAATGGGTCTTTGTGTTTTTAGTTGCCTCCTCTCCATCCTTAGAACAAAGGGGTCTACAGTGGCCCCCACCAGGTCTAGCCCACACACATAGTCTCTCTGGAATGGCCTTTCATGTGTGGGTGAGTCTTGGGAATAGCACCAGGCCAGAATGGCCAAGAGGAGAGTGAGAGGGCCAAAGCACAGAGGGCTCACATACAGAGTCCTCTAGGCCCTGTACCCTGCTTCCCTGAGAGAAGTATAAGGACCTCCCAGTCCTTATTCCTGTATTCCTGACCTCCCAGTCAAAAGCCAGCTGTCAGTCAAGCAGGGACTCAGCAGGGAGGACAATCAGGCCAGGGAGGGAGACCTATATTCTCTGTCTCTTTTTTTTTCCTGCAAGAAATTAGAAATATTACCCAGCTGTTAAAATTCAGATGGATCACTATGATTCACATGGAAAGCTCCAGCAGATACATATGTTCTTTCTTTTATATGTATGCAAATCAGTAAAATATAGTGCAATAGATGCAGAAAGCTGCAAAAAACAAAAACTATTTCTTATAATTTCCTACATTAATATTAGGTTAGATACATAGGAGAAGGTTACACATTAAACTGATAACAGTGGTTAATCTGGGAAGGTACATCATCTGGAAAGATATCAGTTGAAGGGGTGTCAAGACAGACTTTCATTTTATCACTATTGCTTAAGTTGTTTATAAGAATGCTATATGTATGATCTGTATAATCTATAATAATTTTTAAAAAATCTTTAAGCCTGCACCTAAGAGATGGTTAGATTCTGACCCAAAGGAAAGACGTGACTTAAAGACAGAATTCAACTTCTGGAAGCCCTCAAGAGAATTCTGTTATTGCTCATCTCGTTTCCTTTATCAAACAGAAGAGCTTGAACAACAAAGCACTTTTTGCTCATTGTAGTCCAGAAAGATTGGGGCTCAGAATTGATCGCTTCCATCCCGTATTTACAATGGGCTTTGACACAACCCTCGCTTTCCAGTCGCTCTCACTTTCTCCCTCTGCCTTGGACTAACATGTGCATCTGGCTCCTTCTCTGCTGCAGTGCTCTCCCCGGCCCAGGCCATCGTGGTTTACACGGATAGGGAAGTCCATGGTGCTGTGGGCTCCAAGGTGACCTTGCACTGCTCCTTCTGGTCCAGTGAATGGGTCTCAGATGACATCTCCTTCACCTGGCGCTACCAGCCCGAAGGGGGCCGCGATGCGATCTCGGTGAGTACCTAGGGGAATCCTGGTACTTCCCTAGAACAGAAAAGAGGTCAGGTGAAGGAGGGGAAATCCTTTATAAGCCATAACCTGAATTTTGGTAAGGTAAGTGGCCATCTTTTTCTGCCTGATAGGACTTTCCTGAACTGTCCCCTTCCCCAGCACCACCCTTTCCCACCCCAGACCCCCTCACTCACTCCAAGTCTAGAGCTCTATACATTCCCTCATTCTTCACAGATCTTCCACTATGCCAAGGGACAACCTTACATCGACGAGGTGGGAAGCTTCAAAGAGCGCATCCAGTGGGTAGGGGACCCTCGCTGGAAGGATGGCTCCATTATCATACACAACCTGGACTATAGTGACAACGGCACATTCACCTGTGATGTCAAAAACCCTCCAGACATAGTGGGCAAGACCTCCCAGGTCACACTCTACGTCTTTGAAAAAGGTGTGCGAGGGGAGGGGACAGGGGCGGGGAGGCAGAACCGGGAGGGGGCTAGGGAGGTCTGAAGGTTGTGGGGAGAGACAGGACTCTGGAGCTAATGCCTTTCCGGCTCTGGGAAGGTGGGCAGGAGGCAGCCTTCACTGGGAGCCCAGCATCCCTCAACTCCAGAGGTGGTGGCTTGGGACCAAGGGTGCGTCCTCCTGCCCATCCAGTGAAGCTCTTTCCCTCGGTTCCTAGTGCCCACAAGGTACGGGGTGGTGCTGGGAGCCGTGATAGGCGGTGTCTTGGGACTGGTGCTGTTGCTGCTACTGCTTTACTACCTGATCCGATACTGCTGGCTGCGCAGGCAGGCTGCCCTGCAGCGGAGGCTCAGGTAAGGGAAAGCCTGACCCCCCCTCCCTGAACCCCATCACTCCCCACCACTTCCGCGGCTGCGAGGGTTCAGAGCGACCCCTGACAGGCGCTCGGACACAGCCAAACCCAGCACTCCTTTCTTTGCAGTGCCATGGAAAAGGGGAAGTTGCACAAGTCTGGAAAGGACTCCAAACGTGGCCGGCAGGTGAGCCGGACTCAGACCCGCACAAGCTGAGTAGGGGGAGAGGGACACCGGGCAGCACTGACGGTGGGGTGGATGATGCGTGTCCTCTTGCCGCAGACACCAGTGCTGTATGCCATGCTGGACCACAGCAGAAGCACCAAAGCTGCCAGCGAGAAGAAGAAAGGGCTGGGGGATTCCCGCAAGGATAAGAAATAGCGGTTAGCGGGCCGGGCGGGGGGTCGGGGGTCAGGCGCGGACTCCTCCAAGGGCTCTCCAAGGGTGGTAGTCATCGAGATGGAGCTACGAAAGGATGAGCAGAGCTCGGAGCTCCGACCTGCTGTCAAGTCCCCCAGCAGAACCAGCCTCAAGAACGCCCTTAAGAACATGATAGGCCTGGACTCGGACAAGTGATCGCCGCCCCTCCCCCGGGCCCTACTAGAGCAGGGGTCCCTGGCTCCTCTTATCACCTGTCTAGGTGCTTTCCTCCTTAGCTCCCCAGCCCAGCCTTGCCCTCACTTCCCTTTGAGATGTAAGTTTCATTCCAGAACTCACCCTCCTCCCACTTGCCTTTCTCCCTCACCTTCCCCAACCCGCAGGCTTTCTGGAAGCCCAGGGCCGGATCCTACCCATCACTGGCCCCAAGGACTGTGTGTTTGGTGCCTGTCCCTCGGGCACCGAGAAGAAAGGGACCTTGATACCCCCTGCCACAACCCAGGCCACATGGCTTTCCCATCTCCCGCTGCCACGCCCCCTGTCCTCTGACTCTTCCCTCTTTTTCTCTCCCTCCCTCTGTCAGGTCATCCAGAAACATTTTCTTCTATCTCCCTCCACCCACCCACCCCCCACTCCAGCTAACGTCCTGGTCACCCAGAGCAGACTCTCCTTCAGGGTTTATTTAGGTTGGTGGTTATTTTTTATTTTTAATCCACTCTATTTGTTTACCTGTGCCTTTGCTCTGCCCTCTCCCCATGACTGAGTACCAATGACGTCATGTGGCTTTTGCAATCCCCCCTCCCCACTGAGTCCTTCTCAGACAGCCACCAGCTCAAGAAGAGGGGACCCTGATCCTCAAACCTCAGCTTCAGGATCGGTGCCCCTTACCACTTCAGAGCACTGTCCTGAGACTCAAGGTCACAAGGAAGGAGAGAGGGAAAGAATGGGTCCTCACGAGACAGGGGGGTTGAGGAGGGGGCAGTGAGCCCTAAGAAATGACTTTTAAACAACCAAACAGAAAAACAGGGAAAACAAACGAGAAAGAGGGGGAAGGGAAGAAGCTGCCCGCCTAGCCACAGAGGATTCTTAGGATTTTTCTACATTCTGTATATTTCTTCTCAAACCCCCAAATATCCTTAAATGTTTAATAAACACTGACATTTCCAGAAGCGGCCGGCTCATCTCCAGTTTCCTCATTCCTTTGGGAATAATGCCTGCACTGTATCCCATTCTTAAAGTCCCACCTTCACCATCCTTACTTTCCCTGGATCCTCCTCCTCAACTGGTTTCAGTTGTTAAAAATTTGGTTTTATGGTATAGGTACAGTGGAAAGACTCTGAAATAGACTCATAAGACAGATTCATACATTCAACAAATATCCAGTTGGCTTTACACTATCAGGCTGTTGGGCTCAGCATTTATATAGGTTAAAACACACAACTCCCTCTTTACCCAGATCTAAGTTCTTAAAAAATGTCTCAGCAGCTGGCTACCGGTGTGACCTGTTACTTTACTAGTTAGTTGACTTTGGTAATCTCAGCTCCATGTTTGTAAACAACATAGATAATGATACTTAATCCCTTGGCTCTGCTTAATTCCCAGGGTTTTTGTGAGAGCCAAATGAGGTCCTGTGTATGGAAAACTTTGTAATCTATACATTGATTTACAACTGATACTGAGGATCAGACCTTTAAATGTGTTACTAGATCTTGCCTAAAGGATTATACTTTATAAACTAGCACAAATCCCAGTCACTGCTAAAAACTCATGCACACACAACTTTGTTTTGTTGGTATGCTGTGTTAAGTACACTAATAATAGCTCATCCTCTTGTTTTTGTGGAGTAATTTAGGTACACCATCACTATCCTGGAATGATTGTGGAAAAACATATATGTATGATTTTCACCTGAGGGGGTCACTGAGGGGAAAAAGAAAAAAAGAGACTTACACAATCATTTCTTTACTTTGTGAAGAGGTTAAAGATTTTTTTTTTTTTTTAGCACTAGCTTTGCCAAAAATACCAGAGTGCTGTCATTTATTTCAAGGAGTGTCTTCTACTCTTTTTTAAAGGCAAATTAATCCAAATTCATTTTAATATAAAAACTAATACTATGAGATAGATACCATTTTCCCCTCATTAGCATAGCTCATATATATTCATGTGTATATATACATATACATATATTTTTTAAGCAGAAAATAAAAAGTATAAGTGAGAATGTAAAGAAACCGGAAGAACCCTCATGAATTGTCAGTAGAAATGTAAAATGATGGGTTCACTGTAGGAACCCATCAGTAGTAGTTCCTCACCAAATTAAACATGAAATTACCATATGATCTAACTATTCTACTTATGGGTGCATATCCAGAAGAATTGAAAGCAGGGTCTTGATGAGATATTTGCACAACCATGTTCTTTGCATCATTACTTGCAACAGTTCAAACAAGAATGTAGCCCAAGTTCCATCAACAGGTAAATGGATAAGCAAAATGTGGTCTACACATACAATGGAATATTACTCAGAAGAAAATTCTGACACTTGATACAACATGGATGTAACTTGACGACATATGCTAGGTGGAAAAAGCTCGTCACAGTAAAGGTAGTATATTATTCTACTTATGAGGTACTAAGAGTAGTCAAAATGATAGAGATGCAAAGTATGCTGATGTTTACCAGGAGCTGGGGAAAGAGAAATTGGGGAGTTATTTTTTAATAGATACTGATTTATAAGATGCAGAGTTGTGGAGATGGATGATGGTGATGGCTGTACAACCTTATGGATGTATTTAATATCAATAAATCATATAATTAAAAGGATTAAAGTAGTAATTTTATGCTAAGTGTACTTTGTCACATAAAAAATGGAAAATAAGAGTTAGTACAAGTTATACGTATTTTGGGGATGGGAGAGGAAATTTAGTTACAACTAAATAAAGTTTAAGACAACTTATGAGTGGAATACTATACAGAGTGCAGAAACCTGCAAATAAGCATGGGAACATTTACATTGCAAAAAATACTCTGGTATAAAAACAATAGCACTCCTGTTCAGGGGTAAATGAATGCATTATTTTATAAAAGATATTAGCACAACTGACTCTCATGTCTGGAAGAAAACAAAGTAAGACCTTTATCTCACAACAGATAAAAAATAAAACCTAGATGCAAAAGAAATGCAAATATTAGAAGTAAATAAGAATTTTTGTTTATTCTCCAAATGAGGAGAGCCTTTGATCAAGACAAGAAATCCAGAAATCATAAAGAAGTATATAAATATTGCGTCTCTTTAATGGCAAAATAGGTTATAAGCAAAACTCAGAGACAATTAATAGTCATGGAGAAAACAGAAGTATTTTCCTACATGACACATGTTCTGGAATCTCCCATATTACCATTTCCAAGTATTGCTCAATTTCTTTACTTCCCTTTACAGTAAACCTCCTTGAACAGGGCCCTCTCTGGTGGCACAGAGGGTTAAAGCACAGCACACTGCAAGCCGCTGCAGCCGCCTGAGTGGGAGCCAGGGAGCCAGGGAGCTCCCTGGCCCTGGCGCGGACCCACATGGTGCAACAGACCACTCCTGTCTCACCCACTGCTCTCCTCAGCAGTGTACTTTGTCAGTCTGCCTGTTCTGCTCCCCACTCTTCTCTGGTGAATCCTCTGGCCTGTACCCCAGTTCTGTACAAATAAGTAAATCATAAAAAAAAGAAATCCTTGAATAATTCCAGGGAACATCTCCTTCAACCCCCTTTAGCCCTCTCTGTTTCCATCACTCCACTGAAACTGCTCCAGTCAAAAGGATTAGCTATGTCCATTTTGCTAAATTCAGTGTTCACATTTAAGTTGTCAATATTATTGACCAACTTTCACTTTCTGGTAACACTTTATCTCTTGACTTCCTTGAAACCTACTTTCCTGGTCTTCCACCTATTTATTCAAGGAATTCAAGAATTAATATTTTTAAAAATTTATTTATGCAGGCCCTCTCTGGTGGCACAACAAGTTAAAGCACAACATTATGAAGCTATCATAGTCACTACAGCATGAGTTGGATCCCCAGCCAGGAAGGTGACCCACATGGCGCAGCAGACCTCTCCTAACCTGCCTGCTGCTCCCCTCAATGGTGTATTTCAGTACAACTGCCTGTTCTGCTCCCCACTCTGTCTCTGATGAACCCTCTCACCCCCCACACCTCTGGCCTGTACCCCAGTTCTGTATGTATAAACAAATATATCTAAAAAAAAAAGATTTATTTATGCATACAAGAGCTGGGGTGTAGGGCATAGGTATGGGGGCAGGGGATGAGAAGAGTGAGGTAGGAAAGGGAGTCAGGGCACACACATGGCTTTTCATAACTCTTCACATAAGGCAACGTCAGCATGGCTATTTTAGTTACTCCTCAAATTTAGTCCTAACCCACTGAATAGTCCCTTATCTACTGATGAAATTTCAACAACATGTATGGTAACATAAAAACGAGAAGGGGAGAGAAGACAGATTAATTTAGCCAAGCAAACACATAGCTACGACAAGTAAATAGAAAATATGCTACTTCTAGAATGGCCAAAGAGCCATAACTAATATCTATGAACTGCTTTCATATTTCTCCTGCCCTCAACCAGAGCTTCAGGCGGTCAGTGTTCTTTACCTGGTAGAGTGAGCCAAATGTCTATTTCTGACTCAACATTCAGGCTTTTGATTGTCCTGCCTTTTCAGTTGTTGTTTGTTCTGATATCTCCCATTAACCTTCACTGCTAGGTATGGAAGTACTTAGTGGTGTCCCTGGAGAATCTCCTGGGTTCCAGAAATAGCTGGTCTGGTTCCCATTGTGTAGCACTTGCCAGTTTCTCCTGGATTATCAGGCTCAGTAACACCAGCCAGCCAAGTTATCTGTTTTTTCTGTTTGGCTCAGTGTGATATAAAACCCCAAATGGCTGGATGCCAATCTCATCTTCCAGAGCAATGGAACCATTCAAACCAGCAGGCTCAAAGTTGCTGGTAAACAAAATTTCTGTGAGTGGATTATTAGGTGCAAATGTGAAAGAGCCACCCTCTCTTTTATCCCATGACTCCCGAACCCATATATTCTGGCTATGGAGGAGGCAATGCCACGTGGTCTCTGATTTTAATCACATATTGTATCTTACAGGACAAAACTTTATTCTTTCAGAGTATCTCTTAATTATTACTGTGAATCTTTAGGAAGACAACTCAGAGCATTATGAGCAAGGGAGGCATGTTCAGAATGTGTCTGAGGAAAAAATCTATCCCCTCCACCCTTTCATCCCCTCATCTGCCCCACTCCCTGCAATAAAAGAGGTCCAATGTCAATCTGTCATCAGACCACTGGCTAACTGGTCCCCCAAGGAAAAGTGTATGTAAGGGACTAGTGCTTGTCCCGTCCTTGATGTATTGAGCACCCAGCTGTAGCCATTCACCAGATCAGCCTTATAAGGAGAAGTCCCTGTTGTTGAGCTCACACATGACTTCCAAGACTGCCATGACCATTTTGATCAAGGGACTGTTGGGCAAGCATGGGGCAGACAGGGTCACAGTCTGAGTCCATTTTCAGAGGGCCATTCATGCAGCTCCTCCCCAGACTTCCTGTAACAGTGTGGTTTCCAGGGAAAGGGGATGTTCCACATTCCCTGCCCCACCCAACGAAGGTGGAGCTGAGCAGAGAGGAGGAGAAGCTGGAAGGGAGACTGGATGAAGAAAGAAAAGACAAAGAGCAAGGAGACCTGGAGCAGAGACATGTGAAGAAGCTGCACTTGGGGCTGGTAGAAACAGATGTGGGCTATCAGTTATCACCTTCACCACCCTCCAGGGTCACTAAAACAGCATGCTTCAACCCCTGGTTTCATTCCTTGTCACCAAGTCCTGTTTCTTCAAGTCTCTGACCAGCCAGCCAGGTCATTAGCAACTGACCGTGGATCAGTGTCAGTTGTGGGGAGAAGATCAGGGACAGGCCAGAGGCACAGGAGTGAGAGGATTTACCAGAGACAGAGTGGAGAACAGAACAGGTGGATTTATTGAAATATACTGCTGAGGACAGCAGCAGGTGAGACAGGAGGTCTGTGCACTATGGAGGATTTGAGGCTTTCGTTTATATTGTTTTTGCAGTTTCTAACTTGGGGCGCCAGTTTGTACCAGTTATCTGCTAAGATGTCCAATC